TATCTGGTAAGAAGGACTTTCTATGCGCTGGTACCAGTGCTTGAACTAGGGATCTGGCATTGTCACTTAGCTTTTTAGCTCACAGAAAGTACTCTACTACTAGAGCCATACCTCCGGCCTGGCTTTTTACTGCTTAGTTGGACATGAAGTCTCTAGACAATGTTTTTGATCTGGACTGGCTTGTAACCACAACCCTTAGGTTTCAGCCTTGCCAGATCTAGGATTATAGGTGTGAGCCATTCACTCTCAGTTTTCTTGACTCTTAATTGTGAACCTCAGCCTCCATTGTGGGATGAGGGAAGGAGAGACTGTTGGAGAGAGCGTGAAAGAGCAAGACATCCCTGGAGGATTCCTGGTGAGGAAGGCGGGTAGGGCATCTTCTGTCAATTTTTCACAATGAAGGGATGTTGCATTTCTATCCATTTCTTGCTACAAGGAGAGAGATGAATCCTGGGGATGATCATGAAAATTCAAGAGAGTCAAGGATTTGGGACAGAGAAAAATCATTCCATGAAACGCATAGAGAAAAGCCTTGGAGGGAAAGAATGGAAACCACCTGGCCATTGTCAGCATGCCTGGTTTCAGTGGGGAAAATGAGACTGAGGCAGGAGAGATATGCTTGCGTAGAAAAGACTAGAAAGTGTGGGTGCCTCCTGAAAAAACAGGAAATGTAGCCTGGTGTCCTCATGGAGACTCTATGTACAGGTAGGACTAATAACATAATTCTATATGAAATTGTATTAATAAATTTATAATAATGTATAATTGTATTTCCTCTTTATCATTATTATGTCACCATAATTATAGAGCTATATCATTCATAATTATATAACTCTTATGATTGAGTACTAGTTACGTTTTTATGATTATAAAACATTTTAATTGGTATGATTGTAGCCACTAGGCACTAGAGGCTGGGGTAGTGACTGGTGTTTGCATTGCCTCTGAACATTCGGGTGCTAAGTGTTTCCCTTGAATTATCGCATTTCATTCTTAGCGTCATACAGTGAGGAGTCACTGCAGTTGTCCCACAGGGGTTCCCGAGGAGCCCGGATGAGCAGGAGCTTAGAGTGCAGAGAAGGCAAGCAGGTCTGGACTAACACATGGGCTGCATGGAAAGAGAATGGTGCTGTGAATAGCCTCTTGTGGGAATGACTGGAGTGTTTCTCAGTTAACAGACAGCTGTAGCATTTACAATCTCTTTATTGTTTTGCATTGTCCAAATCTTCAGAAAATTATGGTGGACTTTATTATGGTAGAAAGAACATCACCTTGTCTCTCTAAATCTTGGGTCAGCATTTGTGAAAAGGATAATCGGGTATATAAATATTGTCATTTCTGTGTTTCTCCTGAGACACTGACATTACATGTCCAGCTGAGCTGGTGTCTCATACATATAGTCCTAGCTTCTTGGGAGGCTGAGATAGTGAGGATCGAGGTTTGACTCTAGTCTGAGCAGAAAGAATGGGTTTCCCTTTTTTTTGGAGCTAGTCCTGGGGCTTCACTTGAAAGCCTGGGTACTGCCTGTGAGCTTTGTGCTCAAGGCTAGCACTCTACCACTTGAGTCACAGCTCCACTTCTGTCTTATTTGGTGTTTAATTGGAGGTAAGTCTCACAGCCTTTCCTGCCTGAGCTAGCTTCAAACTGTGATCCTCAGATCTCAGCCTCGTGAGTAGCTAGATTACAGGAGTGAATCCCTAGTGCCTGGCTTCAAGGCTCCTTCTTAATAAAGTGCTGGGCCTAGTTACCGGGAAGTATAATATAAGTGGGTCATTCCCAGGTATGTACCTGCACAGGAAGTGAGAACCTTTCTTTAAAAATTGCCAGCAAAGGGCTGGGAAGGTGGCTCAGAGGTAGAGTGCTTGCCTTGCATGCATGAGGCCCTGGGTTCAATTTCTCAGCACCAAATAAGCAGAAAAAAAAAGTGGCACTGTGGCTCAAGTGGTAGAGCACTAGCCTTGAGCTGACGAGCTGAAGGACAGTGCCCAGGCCCAGAGTTCAGGCCCCAAATTAGACCCCCCCAAAAAAATTGCCAGCAAAGGAAGTGCTGCTGTAGCTCAAATGGTAACGCGCTAACCTTGTGCAGAAAAGCTCAGGGACATGTGCCTATGTCCAGGTCTTGAGTTCAAGCCCCATACAAAAAAAAAGTTTTCCTCTGCCAAGCACCAGTAGCTCATGCCTCTAATCCTAGCTATTCATAAGGCTGAGATCTCAGGATCAGGCTTTGAAGCTAGTCTGGCAGGAAAGCCCAGCAGACTCTTATCTCCAATATACTATTCAAAAAAGCTAAAAGTGGTGCTGTGGCTCAAGTGGTAGAGCACTTGCCTTGAGCAAAAGAAGGTCAGGGATAGTGCCCAGGCCTGAAGTTCAAGCCCTAGCAAAAAAAAAAAAAAGACCCAGCAAAAATAGGGCAGGAGACCTGGCTCAACAGTAAAATACCTGCCTAGCAATTGTGAGACCAAAAATTCCAGCTCCAGTGGAGAGATAGGCTTTCCAGTTAACATGAAACAACTCCCTTGTAAGCAGGTTTTGAGCTAGAAGAGTACAAACCACATGGCTCTGGAAAGCCCTCTGGTGCTGGGAATACCTTCCAGTCATGAGATTGAACTAATCCTGTTGAGAACTGCAGATGCTTCATGAGTACTTCCTTCTCTTTTGTGGGATCAAGGCCTTGGCCCTAAGTGTGTTCCTGAGGAGTTTTTTGTTTCCTTGCACAGACTGCTATAGGTGACACCTTGGTCCAAGATATCCAGTATTCTCCAGACACCCGCAAGCTTCTCGTCCGGCTCAGTGATTCTTACAAAAGGTAAACAGCACTGGGAGGCTGAACCCTTGGATTTCTAGGTCTGTATTGGTCTGCCTGTTCTGTGCCCACACTTAGTGGATGAAGAAAGAGGGGTCTCCAAGTCCTCCCAGCTTGCACGCAAAGCCACAGGAACTGGAGATCCACACATGGAATGAATTTCAAGATGTATCACAGCTAGAAGAATTTCACATGTTGGAAGTTTTAGCAAGGATTTATTTTAAGGTTTTAGAATAATAGGATAACATAGTGAGAAATAAAGTGGCTACTTTCCATGCTAGAAAGGGAGAGGTAAAGACTCAAAATGGTGGTTGTCCCCCCCTTTCTCCCCCCCCCCAGCCCTGGTCATAGGGCTTGAACTCAAGGCCTGGGTGCTGTCCCTGAGCCTCTTTGTGCTCAAGGCTAGTGCTCTACCGCTTGAGCCACAGCACTGCTTCTGGTTTGTGAGTAGTTAATTGGAGATAAGAGTCTCACAGGGGCTTTTCTGCTGGGGCTGGCTCCAAACTATGATCCTCGGGTCTCAGGCTCCTGAGTAGCTAGGATTACAGGCATGAGCCACTGGTGCCACAAAATGGTGGTTCTTATGTATAGTCTTTTATACTTTCTGAGCTGGGGGTATACATGCACGACTATATCACTTATCAATCCCTTAATCATTAATCTGGGATGCCAAAAAGGTGCTGGCTTTGAACTGAGATCCTCAGATCTCAGCCTCCTCAGTACTTAGGATAATAGGAATATGCCACAATGCCTTGGTTGTCCGCTATTTTTTTTCTCACTGCCAGACCTGGGGCATGAACTCAGTGCTTGAGCACTGTCCCTCAGCTTCTTTTGTTTAAGGCTAGCACTCAATTACTTCAGCCACAGTGCCACTTCTGGCTTTTTCTGTTTATATGGTACTGAGGAATCAAACCCAGGACTTCATGTATGCTAGGCAATACTCTACCACATTCCCAGCTCTTGTCCCTTATTCCTTTTTTGGGGGGGATGGGGGGAGGTCCAGTCATGGGGCCTGAACTCTGGGCCTGGGCGCTGTCCCTCAGCTCTTCAGCTCAAGCTAGTGCTCTACCACTTGAGCCACAGTGC